ATATCATGAAGTAATGTCATATCTTTTTGAAATATAAAAAATGACTAATCCAAAATGATCACATTTGATTTCGAGATTAGGTTCAAGGCTAAGGTTGAAAATAAAATTGTTGTGTCTTGTCTAGAGCTTTATTACATGTCATCCTACAAGTGACATAATTATATCAGTTGAAGTTATTATATCTTCATTAAATTATAGATGAAAATATGATGGATCCACTACTTTTTAGTATCATCAATGAGCTCCCTCTTCACCCAACTAACCACACATTATAACATGATAATATATTTTATCAAGATCAACTTGTTATCTTTGAGACCTCTGAATTCATTCTAACTCTTATCTGAATTTCATAACTTTACAACAATATGAGACTCAAATTTCTAGATAACTTACTATTGAAATTATGTAGAACATCAAATGGAGCGACATAAAGAGTTGGATCTGACACATTATGACTAGTTGCTAAAGTTGTTAAAAAAATAAATTTGTATTTTTCTTATATTGACCTTATTAAATTCATTCCAACTTTTATCTGAATTTCACAATTTTGCAACAATATGAGACTTAAGTTTCTAGATAACCTACTATTGAAATTATGTAGAACGTCAAATGGAGTGACATAAACAGTTGGATTTGACACGTTATGACTAGTTACTAACGTTGTTAAAAAAATAAATTCATGTTATTTTCCTATATTGACCTCCAACTACAATCTATTTTAGAATTGATATGATCAAATATTACAATGAATTTTATTGAAAGCTTATCAACATCCAATTTGTATAATAAAATTCTAGTTGTCATGGATTGCTTGAGTAAATATATTAATTTATCTATTTTATTCACCCACTCACCTTCAAAAATATTACTTTTATTTTAATATGATTTAATTATTATATAATAAATCACAAATTTAAAAATTTAAAACTAGAAAATACTTTTTTTAGATTTTTAAGATTTTAAAAAATAAATATAGTAGTTACAATTAGGTAAAAAGCTCTAGTAATAGTGAGAATTTTTCAAGTCGAACACAAAGGTGTAAGATAATATCAAGTAAAAGAAAATAATTTTTAAATATTTATCAAATAATATATTTTTAATAAATTTTAGACTAAATGATTAAAAGTAAATATATTTAAAAATTCATGAATAAGGAAAATTTAAGCACTAATATTAGCATTCAATGAACTATAATTTGGGTAGAATCAAAGTTCTACTTAGTGATTATTGTGTGAATGATTACATACTTTTTAATTAATCAAATTGAAATTTGTAAATATCAAAATAATTATAATTAATTAAATAATATTTTAAAATTTTAAAATCAGACAAAATTTCACTAATTTAAAGATAATCAAGTTTAAAACATATAAAACTAAATTCTAGATGTTTAGAAATTTTTTCATATGATGTCTATGTCCCCAAAGGTTCTCTTTGGGCATACATGATATGGGTAATTTTTAGATCCTCTTGCGAATTCTAAAAAAGCTCAACAAAGTGAAAGTTTGGTGGCAATAGATTTTTTAATAGTTGTCACTCATTAGAGATGAGTTTGATGGAGGTGGGACATATCTTAAGAAGCTTATTCTTCAAGTATGCACAATAAAAGGAGGCTCATATTGTATTTGGAATGTTTTAGAGAGGTGTCGACTTGTCTTCTAATGTATTTCTTTGAAGAATTCATGATTTTTGTATTTGAAATCTTTGATCAATTAGCAATAATCCATGAATAGTATTAACAAAATTTATATTAATGATTGAGCGATTCTAATGCTTGATCATTGACTGAAGAAAAATCGTGAGTTAAATAAATAAAAACATAAATTTGGTCTTTGATAAGATTCAAATCTTTGTTTGTCACTTGACCATGTGAGAGAAGGTTAATAATTTACAAGAATACCTTTGAAATAGTGACATCATGACTATATTTCCTTCTTATAATGTAATGATATTTTTGACATTATTTCATTAACATATTACAATCATGTTTTAGTCTCACGTTGATTTTATTTGGATGTTTGGGTTAAAAATAAGTCTAAGGTATCTTGAGTTATTGATATATTATCTCATAAATAAAATGGTCAAGTGATCTGCCCCCATATACACGTGCGTACAACCATTCCTTGCTACACACTCAGTTGGCCCTTGGTGACGTGAAAAGAGAGTGATGCACATATGTTTTCCATAGCTTTCTTAGCTATTTGAGCCCCTAGCTTGTGTCTTCTTTGACTAAGCTTCTTACTTGCATGTGGCACCCTTCGAGTTAGTTGCCACGTGTCAGCTGGCCAATGATTTTCTTATTTTTATATTATTTTTCCTCATTTTATCTAAAAAATATGAATATAAAAATCACATAAAATTACATAGTGAGCTAAAAATTTACATTAATCACATAAAAACCCATTTTCTCTATTTAATATAAAGAAGTGTATATTTATCATGAGTTAATTTATAAAATAAATACTTTAACCACTATTAACTCATAATAATAAACACTTATTAGGTTTTTATCTACAATGTTATGTGACTTCACATGCTTCATCAATCAATCCTCATTGATCAAGACATGATTTGTACAAGTTTCTTTTGACATGAATTTTTCCATCTCCATGGGATGACCTTCAACAATACCGGCTCATATCATCCACCAACTAATGAATAATTATAAGTGGTTAATCAAAGTATTGAAACTTACCTCCATTGTTTTGTAGGAGATTGACCAAATCAATGAAGCAATTGGTTCCTATGGGTAGAATTCTGATTCAAACACCAACTATAATTCTTCTTCTAACTTCTTTCCCTTCAAGATTATTTATTACCATGAACCACCAACCATTCTCCAATACAAATCTTGCTTCACGAAGATAAATGATATCAACTACCTCCTATAAAAATGAGACAAGACCTTTTGCCAACTCAAGGACCATATGGGCTAGGCCTAAGCCTAAAATGAAGGACTTGAATGATGTTCTTAGGGAGCTATGCAGCAAAAAATTATGTGCTCACAATTAGAAAATATTTGCTTGAGCAAAAGTCTTGTAGTTGACTTCGATGGGGGCCCAAATAATCCCCAAATTCTTTACTAAAGTGAGAGAGAGTAGAGATGGAGATTAAATAGATAGATAGGTAGAGAGAGAGGGAGGGAGAGAGAGAGAGAGAGGGAGAGATATGAATTAAAAATAGACTTTGAAAAAGGTATCAACCCAAAGTTCCTTTGGCAGTAACAATTGGAAGGAACACCCTTTACAAAGCTGAAGAGCAACTCTCCATGATTGAGAAATGGTGCAAGCTCAATAGCCTACATCGGGCCATCACGCCACTAGATCTTGTGGCTTAGCTGCTCTGCCGTCACATTTCATATGACATCGCATCATTAATCTGTCTACTAACTCTCATAACTACAATTAAATGGAGAGTAGACCTCATGACAACAATCTTTCATAGAGAAAATGTTAGCAAATCATTTTATATACTAAAATTTAAATCCCGATTTTAGAAAAGTTCACCAAGGTTTTTGATTTGCAGGAAATTTTATACTCCAAATTATGTCAATAATTATATGAATTATTTGATTCATCTTGTGCTAGATGTTCTTGTTTCCTCACATTGGAATTTTTCTTTCGCATTGGAATAGGTTTTTTAAGGGCTAAAGTGGAAGCTTTTAATACATAGAATGGTTAAAAAAATGGGCTAAATTAGGTTCTCATTTCAACAAAAGATTAAAAAAAAAAGTTGAATAATTTAATTTGACTACTCATGCCTTAGTTTTGTGGTAAGATTTTAGTAAAATAAGGCACATAAAATAGTATATATACAAAAAACTAATGATGGGGATATTTTTAGTGTCATCAAACATTGTGAAAAAAAAACACCTCATCATCCTCATGCTTCACATTAGGTGGCCATGAAAAGTGCTACTTTTATGCTGATTATTAATTCTTCCTTAATTAAATGTTTAGATGCTTTTAAACTTGGTGGTTTAAAGACATTCTTTTCATGTGTATTTAAAAACCTAAAAATATAAGGAACTTTTTTCAACTTATTATTTCAATCTCTCTCTTTTTTGTCTCAAATCCAGTATTAATTTTAATTAATATATATTTTGAAGTCAAAATAATTTGAATATAATATCATAACTGCTGTCTTGAAAGCTTAAACCTTCTCGCTCTAGAGGGTGTAAAAAATAATCCCATATGGGCAGAATATAGAACAAAAGTAAGGGTATCATATTTCCAAAGTAGTCCTTAATTATGGCTTGATGCTTTAAATATGATTGATTTTGAGAGATTTTTGAGACCCAAAATTGGGAAAAAATAATATAAGTGGTAAGTTGGCACTTCTATGAATCGAACAATAGTGGAAGTTTATTTAAATAATATATATTATTTTTTCTTCCATGATTTCGTCGCACCATTTCGGATGCTTTCCGGATGGATCGTTGGGTAATCCGAAGGACAGTGTTAAATCGGATCTGCCTGAGGCGGCGACTCGTCGACGGTGACAGTTCAAACAGGATAGAGAGAAGGCGGGGAGGAGGAAGCCCTAATCGCCTCGTCTCCCGCCTCAAGGTCGTCAAGTCGCCGCTGTTCCTCCACCCTCTGCTTCTTCCGCAGCCGCGCTCTGCTCGTTCTCCGCCGCACTTTGCTCGTCTCTGACCGCCCTCGGGCGCCATCTCGTAAGATACCCTGCTGCGACCATCGGTCGACGCATAGAAGATGTCCGCGTACACTGGAGCTAACACGGGTTTCCTTCATCAACCTTCGGGGACCAAGAAGGGTTTCACCACTCGCTGTCCTAAAACCTATGTGATCAGTGATTCGCCACGCTTTGTAAGGCTACCGTCTGCCGCGACTTGCAAAGCTTCCAGGGTCGAAGGCACCCTGATTGAAGGGGGACCGCCATCCGCCGTTTCTATTTCCGTAGGCGATGGGGGTAAGGATTTTGTTTATAAAAGTTTTGGGAAATTTCTTTTTCTGTTTCAAAACTTCGTATCGCCAATGAAAGAACGGTCAATCCTTGTGTTCCTGAACGCGATTTCTCGCTCCATAGGTGATGCCAGTACATTCAAAGATTATAGCCTCAAGGATGCTGATCCTGAAATGCACGCACTGATTGAAAAGGAGAAACAGCGCCAGTCGAGATGCCTAGAGCTAATTGCTTCTGAGAACTTCACATCACGGGCTGTGATGGAAGCTGTCGGTTCTTGTCTCACGAACAAGTATTCTGAAGGACTGCCCGGCAAAAGGTCAGTTCTGCGAGGTTGGACACATCTTAGTTGACTTTTGTTATCGTCCTCTCGATTCGGTAACTTACTGAGGCATTTGCTGTTATGTCTAGGTATTACGGCGGGAATGAGTACATCGATCAGATCGAGACTCTGTGTCAGAGAAGAGCCTTGAAGGCATTCGGCTTAGACGAGGAGAAGTGGGGAGTCAACGTTCAACCTTTATCCGGCTCCCCTGCTAATTTCGAAGTCTACACTGCCCTCCTCCAGCCACATGACAGAATAATGGTATATACTTTTGTCTCTCTCTCCTTCTCTCTGCAACTACGTGTGTATTCCCCCCCTTGAAAGGTGCTATTTAGTCTTTGTTTCCTGTACAGGAACCTCTGCACTCATGAATGATTAACTGGCTTACGCATCTGTACGCAGGGTCTGGATCTGCCACATGGTGGACACTTATCTCATGGTTTTATGACTCCGAAGCGAAGGGTTTCAGGGACATCAATTTATTTTGAGTCTATGCCTTATCGTCTCGATGAATCAACAGGTAATCCTTACTTCTATAAGGCAAAAATAGCATCGTGTGATTCGCTGTTTTCCTCCATTTCATGGCTGAGGACCACAGCCTTGGCTGAGGACCCTCATTATCCGTCTCCAATCAGGTTTTGTTGACTACGATATGCTGGAGAAGACAGCTGTCCTCTTTCGACCCAAACTAATAATTGCGGGTGCAAGTGCATACCCTCGGGATTTTGATTACCCTCGAATGAGGAAGGTATTTTTTCTCTTTCTCATCCTAAATATCAGCCAAAAAGTTGTTCCTTTTTGTTCCCCAAATTATTATTTAGATCTAACACTGTTGGGCCATACTACTTTGGAAGATTGCGGATGCTGTTGGTGCGTTTCTTATGATGGATATGGCTCACATCAGTGGACTAGTTGCTGCGGGGGTGGTTGCAGATCCCTTTGAATTTTGTGATGTTGTCACCACAACCACTCATAAGGTATCACGATAAGAAACCTCCGTATTCTTTTGTATGTCTGGGCTGAGTACACTTGTGGTTCATATTAGAGCAATTTATAATGCTTAGACTTTAGTAATGCATGAAATTTGTGAGAACCTTCACTTTTACATTGTAATAATATTGTGATTCCGGAAGCCAATGCAATTGTTTTTGGAAGTCTCGTTAGAACTAATCCCTTACGGGCACTTAAAATAGAGGTCTGTCTGCACTCTCAGGGTCCAGCCTTACATCTCCTCTATTGTTTTCCCTCGTTGGCACGTTGTAAAAACAATTTATTGAATCTGTTTGTCGGCCTTATCACCTAGGTACTCTGGTCACTTGCTGTTGCTTTACTTGATGCTCTAATTTTCCGCTGTACGTACTGTGCCCTAGAAAGATCCATATCATGTGATGATCTGTGTAAATTGAACTTAACAAGTTCAACACCAATAAACTGTGGGTCTCGACCAGAGTTCTCCACCTGCTTGCGTATCTGGACATAATACATATTCTGTGGACATGATGAAGGTGCTAAACAATTGCGTCAGTTTATTTTGTGATGGAAGATGAGTCTGTTGAGAATTATGCATCCTATTGAAGTCGTTTAGAAGTGTGACTCCCCCGTGGTCCATCCTAGAGGAGTTGAAATGGATTAAATTGACGGGCGCTGTGCCTCTGTTCTCAACTACAGAGCATGTTATATTATCGCCACCAAGGTATGCTTTGTCATTATTATCAAGGAATAGTTAAATAGTAAATGTTTAGGATGCAAAAACTGGTCTTATTGGAAGGATGCTGAGAGATAAATAGGCTGATATCGAGTCGAGGCGTTAGGTATATCAAAATTTACAAGTGAAGTGAAGGCTTGTGCCCACCTAACATTTTGATATAATTCATCCACGAGATTCAATATTTTTTTTTGCCTGGTAGTTGCATTGTTTTTGAAAGTGGATGTGGTTCCCCCACAGTAAGAAAGTTCATTATTTGAGAACATATCTCCTTGCTGTAACATTCTCTCCTACTCTTTTAATGAATGGTTTTTTGAAGTATTTCATCTCTCATCGCAGCATTCTTCATAAACCTCTAATTTCAAACGTGCAGTCTCTTCGAGGTCCCAGAGGTGGCATGATCTTTTACAGGAAGGATCCAGTTCTGGGCATTAACCTGGAAGGCGCCATTAATAATGCTGTTTTCCCAGGTTTACAGGTACTGGGTACGATATTTATTGCCAGGTTTATCATTTGGATCATCTGAATCTAGCAGTATTCTGCTAATCCGATTGAGATTCATTTATTCAATAATCTATAATCTATGGTTCAGGGGGGTCCACACAACCACACGATTGGCGGGCTTGCTGTCTGCTTAGATCACGCGCAGTCACCTGAATTCAAGGCTTATCAGAGCCAGGTACCTTCTCTTTCCTTGTGCTCCCCAAGTCGGACGGTTCTTTGGATTCCTCTTTTCTTCTTTGATGGACTCCTCGGTCATTTTCTTCTCTAGGTGGTATCTAATTGTAAAGCTCTGGCAAGGCGGCTGACGGAATTAGGTTACAAACTGGTCTCAGGCGGGAGTGACAACCACCTAGTTCTTGTTGATCTCAGGCCATTGGTGAGCTCCATTATTGACTTAGCTTTTTAATTTACATCGATCATGATTCAACTCTGATGTAGTTGACAAGATTTGGATTTTTTTCTGAGTTATTGTTTACAAATTCCCAGTGCAACCCCTGTGAACTAGAATCAAAATCCCAAAGTGGGTCAACTCCTCTACGATCTACATAAATACTTGCCGATCATATTCATTTCATCCATGAACTGAAGACATTTCGCAGATCACTTATGTAACCTAAAAGTATTAACCTACTCGATGAGGGTTCTGACTATTCCCCAAACATACCATGAAGGAGATCGATGGTGCCAGGGTTGAGAAGATCCTGGACTTGGCTTCAATCACCCTCAATAAGAACTCTGTTCCTGGTGAGCGCAGATATCTATATTTCCCTCTTCTTACTAATGTTTCTCTACTGTATTCCATATCGTTATCTTTGTAAATTTCCATTTACAGGGGACAAGAGCGCCCTGGTCCCCGGTGGGATCCGCATTGGCACGCCGGCCATGACCACCAGAGGGTTTAAGGAGGAGGACTTCGTGACTGTGGCAGAGTGCATCCACAGCGGCGTCCAGCTCACACTCGAAGCCAAGAGCTCCGCCCCTGGGCCGAAGCTGAAGGACTTCATGGACTACGTTGAAGCCCCAGATTTCCCTCTCAGGGGCTCGTTATCTGCCCTGAAGAGCAGCGTCGAGGCCCTGACCAGCCATTTCCCGATCCCTGGTGTGTAGAGAGAGGAAGGAGAAGAGGAAGATGAAGAAGGAGAAGAAGAGGGAGACGGCATTCCCGGTGAGACCTCCTGCTTGCTCTTCATGACCTGGTGAGGGGATCCCCTGTTTCATGATGTTGCTCCGCGCGTTGCTATTTATCGTAACTTTTACATGGTAGCGGTCTCGTGGGTCAGATTTTATATCCTTGAGATAAAAATGGAAACTTTACGAATCATCGTTATTATATATTAAATAATCAGATTTCGCAGGAGCTGGGTAGCGTTGGCAACTGAGACTGATAAAAAAAGCAAAATTCCGAGGGAATGAGCTGGGGAATCCGCAATATATCTCTCCTACAAAAGGAAGATGGTGGGTGCAGTCAACGGTGGGTGGCTGGGCCAAGATGGTGAAAGGTTAGGATAATGGTGGCCCACTCTTCAGTGCGGCGGAGAGGGATCGGATTGTGGAGGGCGTGGTCCGGCAGCACCCCCCGACCAGGCTGGCGCCGCACTCGCGCCACCTCTTCGCCAGGGCTGTGAATTTCTCGTCGCCGTAGCACTCTGATGGCTGGGGAAAGGAGAAACCAATCAACGGCGCTAGAGAGAGAGAGAGAGAGAGAGAGAGAGAGAGAGATAGAGAGAGAAAGAGGCCACTCACCAACCACTTCTTGGCTCTTCCGTCCCATATTTCTCCGCTATTCGGGTACACCGCAATTAATTTATCGGTATGCTGTAAGACAGGCAGATCAGTCAGCGTCTCGGGAAAAAATGCTGTGGATGATTTACAGCCGCATTTATCCCAAGAATCTTGGGGGGGCAGCTACCTTCTTGAACTGGCAGATGAGGTGCTCTATGAACTGAGGGGGGACGCAGTTTAGGCCCACGGCGGCCACTTTCTCGCTCTTGTTCACGATCTCCAAGCAGTCTGCGAAGCTCTCCCCAGAGGACACGTGCTCACCGTCCACAGAGCTGAAGCAGATCAAGGAAGGGATCTGGATCTGTTCTTCGTCCAGCAGCTCAACCAGGGCCTGCCCCCATCAACACGTAGTCAGTCTCATGAAATGGTGAATGCCAAACATTGGTAACCCGTTTTCATGGCTAATTAAATCGATTTATTATTTTATATATAATAAGTTAGTTAATTCGCTCAAGATTATTCTTTGCTCTGCCAAGCCAGAGCTCAAATATTTTAATAATTATAAAATTGAATCCAAGATCTAGCCGTGCGGCGATTTTATGTCTGGAAGCATGTGAGCGTATTAAAAAGTATTTATTTTCGTAGTTTTAAAAAAAATCAGACAGCGGGCATCAGAGTTCACTGCATCATAGTAATCAAAGAAATAAAAATCTTTTTTTTTAAAAAGGGTAATAAATAAATAAATCATATAATAATCAGCTGAAATAAACGACGAATGTACGACCAACTGCTAGATCCAGAGGATAATCCGTTGCCCATCATCAAAAATAGCAAAGAAATCATGATTTCCTAGGATTATCCACATGAGAGTTGAAGCATGAGCAAACCTGAGCTTCGATCTTATTAGGGATCGTCTCGAAGGCAAGCATGTCCGGGCCTGCGCCAACGAAGATCTGCAACCTCCTCCGGTGGAAGTCTTTCAGCTTCTCCAGACCCACATCAGGCCCATAGCGCCCGCTGCAATGATGCACCATTAATAATAATAATAATAATAATAATAATCAGTAATAACAAATTAAATAATTATAATAATCGTGGCAAGAAAATAGAGAAGAAAAGTGAGCACCTGTACTCTGAGCCATCAGCAAGATAAGCTCCATAGCTGCCGACAGAAGCTGCCACCAGCGCACGGTCGTAGCTGCGTCGAGGAGCTCTCAGGTGGGCTTTCCAGAAGCTGTCTCTCGCTTCAAGAGCCAGCTGGACGCTCCTCTGAAGCAGCCGTTCGCCGGCTTCGATGGAGAGGCCTCTCGACAGAAACCCCGGGATGGTAGCCTGTCGAATGAGGAGAAGTGAACATTTCTGATTTTCCATCTTTGTTGAGATATCTTTGCGATCGTTCAATGCTGCCTCCGGCCCTGATTAGGGTTTCTAATCGTCTTCTTCCACTGATTTGTGTCGAAGGAAAAGCGCCGTGGGAAGGTGGCTTGAGGAGCATTATTTTCTTGTGGTGTTCTTGACATGATCGATCGATAAATTAATTGAATGCTAATGATAAAAATCAGAATGGACACCACATTTCTCTTTCCGAGATCGCACGGACTGAAATAAAATCTACATAGATCACAGCATTAATCCGTTCGGCTTCAACCCAGAGATCGAACCTGGTAAGACGAAGTTACTATGATGTCTGCGCCTGCTTCAAGGTACTGCAAATGCACCTGCACAGATGTAAGGCCGAGGGATTTCAGAGTTGATTAGAGAGCTTTAGATCCTAAAGCAGCCGGAGCTAGAGAAGGGTAGGACGAAGAAAACCTAATTATTCTAAACCCTCCGTCGACCTGCGATTGATTACGATGAATGAATGCTGCAATGAGATTCTTCGCTAAGGAGAAGATGTGCTCGGCTGATAGTGCTAGAAGAAGGATAAAATGCAAGCAATCAAAGAGGATTCGGACGACAACGAATCGATTGGATGCTCCCGAAGCTTACGGCTACGAGGGTTTTCCGAGGAATCAGTGGTCCGCGATTCAAACAGGGAAACGAATTTCTAGCCGCTTTCTGGTGGTGATTTCTGGGATGAATCCGGCACGATGGATGAACGGAGCTCCACAAAATAGGAAGAAAAGTCGATGGGGGAGACAATGGAATCGGAAGGCGACGGATGACTAACCCTTCTTATGAGATCGGGATCGGAAATGAGGCAGACGGCGCTCCAGAGAGGGTCCGTGATGTCGGCGCCTTCGAGCTCCAGCTGGGTGGCGAAGCCTCCGTCGATGACAGCGCATCCCCCGGCCCTATCTATCAGGTCCTCCACCGGCCCCTTCCTCACCCCCATTGCTCCCTCTCGCGGAGCAGCGACCCAGAACACAGATGAGGCCGCTTTGTGCTTCAAAGCGGGAAACCCCACTCTGGGTCATTTAAAGAGAGAGAGAGAAGGTTGGTGGGCGGAAGAACCTGGACGCCTTCCCACCAAGACCCGATAATGGATGGACGGCTTCCAGGCGTATTGGCTGCTAGGACCACGGCCTCCGTCGAGATTGGAGGATCACCGGAGTTGGTGCAGGCGAGATCCAGCGGTGAGCTGCTGCCCAGAAGAATTACCGCCTGGAAGCCGCCGTTGGATGGATCGCTGAAGACTTGCCGCGATGGGTGCGGGAGAGGTTTGGTGGGGTTGGTGGATCGGGGAAGATCAAATTCGGTCATAAATCACGAATCTTTCATTTTCTTATGAAGTTCAGATGATTCGATTTCGACTAATCTGGACTAGATTTTGATGAAAATTTGTCATATTGATATTAAAAAATGGGTTTTGATTGTTTAGTAGGTGGGCCGAGGGGGATTAGATTCTGACATTTTTTTAATGAATTTGGATAATAAGAACACCCAGAGTAAACCCAGAGGTTGACTCACGCGATTGAGGCGAGTCTCGTGACCCAGATTAATAAGAACGACTGCTTGTGGAAAGTCTTTCACGCCTACGAGCACTCACACACGCGGTGCAATTTCTGATCATGAATGTGAGTAATTTAGTGGGGAAAGGGCCGGGGGGGTTGACAGATTCTGCTGAGATTTATTCAATTACTGTGGTCAAGGGTGTGGTTGGACAAGTGACTAAAAAGTCAGTCTTCCACGGACGACTTACTCCACGCGCTAGGTTTCCAAAGGTTTGACCGTGCATGTTAACCTAAATGGCCCAAGGTTGGATGGGATTGTTGAGATTGACGCTTTGCTATCAAAATACATATATTTTTGTAGTCTAAATCGTCCAGACCCAATATAAAAAACATATATGAAAAAGAATGTAAAAACATGTATGCTATCAAAATACATATATCGGAATAAATTTTAGTGAAAAAACTATATAATTAAGAGGAGTTATGTTTTAAAACCCTTTTCTAATTTTCTAATTTTTATTAATTCCAACGTTAGAGTGGTCCTACCCTTAACTAAGAACAATAATAATAGTATACATATTTTATCGTCAAAAAAATAGTTTTAATGAAATATTAATATATTATTAAATCCCTATGCTAACAGCAGAAATGTCTTAGACGTTTTGAATCTCAAAATTACAGTTTTTTAATCAATTTAGCGTCATGGTTGTCCTCTTAAACGATCTCATAACTCCGTTTCTGCCCCAAATCTTATCACATTTAAGTGGTAGGTGGGGCGGCTGCCGAGGGTAGATTAGATTAGATTCATTTCCACGAGGAGTCGGTGGCGATGCCAATGAGTGGAAACCCATGAACACTGGGTAGACCTTGCGTAAGTATTGTGTGAGAGAAGAAGCAAGAAAAAAATAAAATTTTGGTTTAGAACTATTAGAATAATAGAGTCGTCAAAACCATTGAGGGAGCTAGTGTGAAAGTGTCGATTAATTCACAGAATCTATATATATTATTGAGAGCTTAGATGAAGGTTTTCCGTTTCTTGAGTAGGATGGAAGTCCTACGCCCATTCTGTCAATGAAAGAAACCCTGAAATGAGCTCCTAGTTGAATTTCATAGACTCTCTCTCTCTCTCTCTCTCTCTCTCCCTCTCCCTGTCTCTCTCTGTCTCTGTCTGTCTCTCCCCCTCTCTCTGTCTCTCTGTCTCTCTCTCTTCCTCTCCCTGTCTCTCTCTCTCTCTCTCCCTCTCCCTGTCTCTGTCTCTGTCTCTGTCTGTCTCCCCCCCCCCCTTTCTCTCTCTCTCTCGCTATAAAGTGGAGGCAGGAAGGTTTGAATGTTGTTGACTTTAAGGTCTAGTTATAAACCTGATAGGAACCAGGCTTCATGTTCATGTGAGGTTACCTGACGCATAGAGATTTTGAAGAGAGAATTGCTGTTGGGAGGGAAATTTTATGAATGATTAAGAGTTTGACCTATGAAACGGTGTATGCTTGAGGTATATATCTGTGGTTCTGTAATGTACAGCTATGCCCGTTTCGGGATCTATAGAAGGGTCTTGGCCGCCATGAAACCCGGGCTGAATGCGGCCTTGACTTTGGTAGTGCCGGGCAGGTTACAAGGAGAGCCTATAAAACATAATACTACCAATAATAATATTATTATTAATGGACAAGTAGGCGATTTGACAGTAGATCTGGACGCCATTGAGATCCTCGAGGGAGAGATTTCAAAGCCAAAATTTAATAGGAAAGGCTTCCTTCCTCCGCCCTACTGCAACAGGTTGGAGGAGGAGCCGGCTCACCGCATCAAGTCCCCATGTTCTTCCTCTGATAGATCTTACAGGTCGTCGGGGAAGAGATACGGAGGGAGGGGAGGAACCCAGATGAGCGAGACAGAGGGATCGAGGTAGAAGAAGATCCATTTTGGTGAATGGGAAGCCATGGGCAGCAGCTTCTCCCGTTCACAGTAACAACGAGAGCTTCCTCCGCAGGCGCCGCTCTAGATGACGACCTCGTCCTCCGGCAGGGCGAATCTCATCCGCTTCTGAATATTCAAAAAAAGGAAGAAGACGACAGGAACCTCTGGTTAGATGATTGTATGAAAAAAATTTGAATTCTGGACGTTGGAAACATCGTATATTCACAAAATATTCTGTGAACTCCGAAGTGTAGCCATTAAACTACGGAACATCTCCTAGAAGGAAGCCCTGGCCATGGAGAGCCCTGGCCTCTGAGCCTCTGAGCCCACACCGAGGAATGCGTCCAATCAGACGAAGCCATACACCACGTGGTAGCAAGGCTGCTCCGTCGTCGTCAACGGAGGACTAAGCTGGAGACAGGGATATTAGAACGGAAAGAGAGAGAGTCAGGCCGTCCATCGCCATTAGCCCCATCGAGGAAGGCTACCCGCCGCAGACCACAGTGAACGCTTTCCTTCACTGATGGGTTAACCGGCGGGAGGTTGGGGGAGATTCGTGGCTCCACCGGCGGTTTACGTCGCCGGAGAAGGTGGAAATTGGGAGGGTCTAACATGGTTGGCGTAAGAATGGCAAGTGCAGTCGATATAATAACGTCTGGTGAGATTCTCGAGCAGAAGGTGAAATGGGAGATAGGTTGGTCTGAATCAAGTGCCTGTTTCGAGGGAATTTCTTCTCCCATATTCACCGCGTAAAAATCTGCCTCCGGTTGTAGGCGTGCTTTCCCTTTCTTGCGGTTGGTCACAACCAAATACGCTAATAATTTTTTTCTTGACGATGACGATCGGGAGAGAGAGAGAGAGAGAGAGAGAGAGCTAATTCTTGCTTTGTGTTTGGTTAGGAAGAGCTTGTGATTAAACGAAAAAGGAGAATATTTAAATAATGATGATGGTGCTACGAAATGGAACCAACGAGAACTGCTTCCGGGATGGAATTTTTTTTTTGGTTCGAATCCGAGGGCTATCACCGAGGGCGTTGACTCAATTGGTTGGTCAGAGGCTGAGAAAACATTGAGGCCCGCTCAGCTCGCTCATTTACCAGGTCAACGAGTTTATGGTTCACTCTTGTGTGGTTGGTTATAGACGGCGGAGGACCAAGATGAGTCTACGTCTGGAGAGAGTTTACTTTGCAGGTGGATTATCCAAAATAACAGGCGCTAACGTCAGTTTTCGAAGGGGGTTACCTCTTTCTTCTCCCGAAGGGGTCCGCTGACCTCCTTTGCCGGTGCCGGCGCCTCGATAACTGTTTTTCCTCCTGCAGCCTCATGGTTTCTGGCGACGCAGAGCTCCATGATTCTCTTCGCTGCCTCGGCCGGGTCCTTGCTTTGCTCAACCAGTTTCGCCACTTCCGCCTTGGGCAGCCTCATGCGGATCCTTAGCGGCCCGCTGCTGTCCCCTTGGCCGCTGCCGTACCCCATGGCGGTCCCGGTGGGGGGCAATCTCGAGAAGGTGATATCGGAGGCAGCTCTCCGGGAGAGCATGAGGCTCTCCAGGCGGTCCTTAGCGGACATATTGATGCCGGAGCGGACCCGCCGGGAGGTCAGCTGCGGGCCGCGGGATTCGGGGGGCGGCACGGGAGGAGGCTCCGGGAGCTGGACGAGGAAGTAAAGCTTCTTCGGCTTCAGGGCGAGGTCGGGGTCGAGGGGCCTCGCCCGTTGGCCGAGCAGCTTCACCTGCTCCGACTCCAGGAGGACGTGCCCTGGGTGGCCCCGCAGCACATCCCTCGCCGTCGCTGGGTGCTTCACCTTGATGAGACTGCCGTCTATCTTCATCACTTTCACTCTCCTCCTCCCTCCCAAGCTGTTTCCCATCTCTCTCTCTCTCTCGCTCTCTCCCTCTTGCTGCCTCGTTCTCTCTCTGAATCTACTTTCTGGAGAGGGGTGGAGGGGTTTATGATGGGGGAGGTGCACGCGGATATAGGTAATGAGGATGGGAGGCGACTGGGGGATCTGATTAAAAGGCAAGTCGGGAGGAGGACCCTGAGAGTGACCGGTAGGTTATGGGGCCTTTGTTCAAACGAAGGGAAAGAACGATAGTTTTACAAGGCAGGCGTGGACGACCTCTTCTTCTCCATTCCGCGACGGGTCCACAGCGTAACATGCCGCCAAATAGGCGCACTTTCACGTAAGCCGATGAATACTTTTTTCACGTAAGCGATCTGCGTGTTCCATTAGGTCAATTCGGAGACCGCCGAAGGTCAAGCCTAATCTTCATGGGTGTCTCCTCAGCGGAAAAAACCTTCGCCAAAATCTTGCCCAACGAGTAAATACCGAGTATTTCAGGGAGTTGCCACGTTTAACCCTAGCACAAGCGCGCATTACAGAGCTCAAACTCGACTCAAGCACAGAACGGACCCTCGAAATGGGCTGCACTGCAGATGCCCGAGAGAGCGATAGAGCGATTGATAGAGAGAGAAAACTTCTGGGTCGGTAGATCTTCTTGTCCAGTAGATCCGCCATGGATTATGTTCAGATCGGAGGGAACTTATTAGTTACGCGGCCAACGATGTTAATCAGCTGTTAACAACGCAGAACACTGTATAATAGCTAGCGACATCATCGAAGGGCCCCTTTTATTATAATGAATATGCTTTCCGGTTATTGGCTGACAAGAAGAAACCCTCATCCCCTCTTCCATCCGCCCGTATTCTATGACCCTGAAGCAAGGGAAGAAAACGAGTCCAAGCCGCTACAGAATCTGCACATCGGCGGCGACCATGAGGCCCTCCTATGACTGGCAGATCTCGCCGACGGCGACCATGAGTGTCGCGGCGTGGAAGAAATACGCCCCCCGTAAAGTCGGAGGTCCTTGAAGAAGGCCCCGCGACTTTCGGTTAAACTGTACGGCGGCGGCGATGCGGCCAGCGACGGAGACTAATATCTCCCCGGTATGAGTTACCGCTAATTAGTCTAAACGTGGCAATATTCCAGGTCTTATCAAGGCGGTGGGATTCAGCGGCGTGGGGGGTGGGTGTCTTCGCCGCCGCTCAGTTTGTCAACGGCGAGGAAGGTCGAACCATTTTAGGCGATTGGCGAGAACTCCTTTTCTCAAGCCCCATGGACAACTACCGCGCCGGTTGCCCGGAAGCCGACGAGGCGGAGCCTCGCGCTGAGTCCGTCCCCCCTCGCGTGGCTTTGAAAGGATCTCTCTGAGAGTGCGAATGACCCACCGGATGGAGGAGGAGGAAGACGGGTAGTTCAGATCAAGTTCCCGGTCATGGTTGGGACCGGCCCGTGCCTTGGACACCGATCGGAACCAGTCCGCTCGCGGTGGGTGGGACGGTCGCCGTGGAAGGACGACGACCGCAGACGAACACGTTGTTCGAGGTTTGACTTGGCAACGCCGAGTTGTCGGCCGGAAGGGACGACTAGGGAACGCTGAGACTATTGTCAACGTGCCGTTGACATAGCATTTGACCCATCGATCGTTCTAGAGAGGTATCTACTCGACGCGTAGCCAATTCGCGAGAAAGAGAGAGGAGGGAGGCGCAGAGAGAGACATGGAAATCTCTGAAAACTGTGAGGGCTGTTGACTTTTTGTCTGAAACGAAGCACAAAGATTCTCGCATGTAACCTGGTGGCTTAAGATTGGACCCAGTCAGGCTGCCGCCCCAATGCCAAGGCTGAGCCTACGCTTCTACAGTATCTCTAGAGAGGGAGAGGGAGAGAGAGAGAGAGTGCCCTCCCTCGTTGTCTCGTGGTGTATTTCATATTTCATACAGAATCGTGGTCAGACGGACCAATTTTGGCAGCCCACAACGACGGCGATGTCGTTCAGCCGAGCGTTCAAAGAATGGAATTAGTCACGGAGGAGGGAGGGCAGGTTCCTGTCAGGACAACCGAATCGAATGGAAGCATCATCAGCCGGTCTCCCCCCGCCTCCATGAGTAAGAAGGGAGTGAATTCTCTACCTGTACAGAGCCTGCTGGCGGGAGGAGGGTGGGTGAGAGGGAGGGAGACGTCCGCTAATCAGGAGGGCCTGCGGAGCTTCTTCAACTGCTCGAGGAGGCCAGCGGCCTTGCGGCGGGCCCTGTCGGTGCCGCTGTGGGCAAGCTCAGCGAGCAGCTTCACGGCGCCGAGGCCCTCGAGGGAGCCGAGGCCCTCGGCGTCCTTCTTGCAGAGGGTGAGCAGCACCGCGGCAGCGTTCTCCTTCACCTGCGGCTGCCCCGCCCGCAGGACCTCCACGAGGAGCGGGATCACGTTGGCCCTAGCGGCGGCGGCCTTCCCTTCCTGGTGGCTGACGACCACCGAGAGCAACGCCACCGCCTCGTCCACCATATCCGCCGCGGGGTTCTCGAATAGCCACAGCACTGGCGCGAGGACCCCTGCGTGCACGGCGCGGGGCTTGTTACCGGAGTAGATGCAGAGGTTGAACAGGGCGGTGGCGGCGTCGCGCCGGCCCCTGGCGCTGCCGTCGCGCAGGAGCGCCACCAGGGCCTCGAACACGCCGGGGGAGCTGCCGATGACCACCTTGTTCTCGTCGTCCAGAGACAGGCTGAAGAGCGCGAACGCCGCGTTCTCCCTCGCCTCCATGCTCCCGGTCCTCAGCACCTGGACGATGGGCCCGACGGCGCCGGAGAGGATGATCAACGCCTTGTTGGAGTCGCAGATAGAGAGGTTCAGGAGGGCGGTGACGGCGTGCTCCTGCGTCGCCGCGTCGCCGGCGGCGAGGAGGCCGACCAGCACCGGCACCGCGCCGGCCTCGGCGATCAGGATCCTGTTGTCGGTGCTCCGCCGGGCCAGCGATCGGATCTCCTCCGCCGCGGCCCTCTGCGCCACCACTGACCCGCCGGAGAGCCGCCGGACAAGCTCCCCGATCAGCTCCGAGTCGCCGGCGACCTCGCGATACGACCCGTCGCTCTTTCTGACCCGGCGGCGCTGCTCCACGCTGTTGGCCTCGCACCACTGGATGATCAGGCTCCTCAAGACGTAGTTGGGGGTCAGCGCGAGGTTCTGAAGCCTCTGCTGGGTTTTTGGGCAGGAGAGATTGCCGGAGTCGATCCACCTCTGGATGGAGGAACGCTCATACGTCTGCGGATTCCACGACAAGAGGATCAGTCAGTTCGTTCATTGCTCCTAACCTGCAAATGAGAGGGAGGGGGGGAATGAAGGAGCTTGCACCTGCCCCGTGGAGACGACGACGGGGTCCCTCATCAGGTCCAGAGATATGGGGCAGAGGAAGTCACTGGGGGCGACCAGGGGATCTGCCTTCTTGCACTCCTCTGAGCTTCCGGCGACCGGGGAGTCTACCTTGTGGCCGTCTTCTAGTGTGGAGTCCTTGAGATCTTTAGATGTCCTAGGGGAGGTCTGCTCGGGGTCGTCTCCAGGAGGCTTGGGGTTGTTGGCTTCGCCGACACGAACCATCAGCTTCTGAGAATCGCCATCGACTGGGGCCGGGCTGTTTATTTTCGCCAGTTCCTTGCAGTTGGCGCTGTAAACAGTGCTGTAAATGTCGGAGAACATATCCAGAGCGTGGGGGCCGTTCCTTTGGGTCACCCTTCTCAGCTGCGTCCTCACAAGCTCGACCTGGTGAAAGAGCAAGCACGTCAGGAGAATCCGACCATGAATGGAAACGATGCGAGAGTAGGCTGTTCTTCACCTGCTCCAGAACCTCGTCTGATATATCGAAATAATCGTAATGTAGGTTTCCAAGAGCCTTCTCTAGCTGCCACGACACATACTGCAACTGCAGTGTAACAGTTTTCTCCACTATGGCCTAGACAAAAAAAACACATGAAAAGAAAAACAGTAAGCGAATAAAGTTGTTTGCAAGTACGCGAAAATGAACATGACGGGCCTTAGAAGAGGAATATAGGCAAGGCTGGCCTCTGCACTGAAGAAAAGAGATTTTTGGTGTAAGGCCATCAAAATAATAACATATTATTCAGTGAGGGGTGAGGTACTATCCTCTTGGACACCTTAGAGTATTTATACCCACCTAAAATCATTCGTATGTAAACTTAGTGTATTTTAGATGATCAGCATTTTTTCAAGCGGGGAAAAACAGAACAAAAATCAGTATGTTCATCTGAATTCCTACGCTGCGTTCACAACCAAAGCTTCAGGCTTTAGGAAGTTAGAAACCGCACAGATAGGAAGTTGGAAAAGATAACGAGAAGAAGTCGTCATGTTGTGATTCTAGTGGCGAGGTTCTTTAATTCCCCGCCAACCCCCCCCCCACAACTCCAATTAAACTTGTTTACTTGTGCACCTTAGTCTCAGTTTGCCCACAAGTTTTCCTACTTATCTCCCTATTTCGAATATGCGCGGGATATATTTCTTGATTTCACTCCTTTATTTGTGCAGACAACTATCATGCAAATTGGATGATCTCTTTTTAAGTTGTAAGGCATAAAACTAAGAATCCCATTTCCTGTTTTTGTTTTAAATTTAGAAGGATGAAGCATGGACATATTGCCTTACTTTTTGATCATGAACATTTTTCGTCCTCTGCAGAATTTGCTCGGCATTCTCGGGTATTATATGAATGAAAATGGATAATCGATTTTGATGATGCTGTGAACACCAAAGCTTCAAACCTTTTTTCATAATTTTTTTTTAAACATTGAAAGGGTGCGGGTGCACATCTTTGTGTTATTATGAAATCAGACCTATTTGTCCTCTGCTGAATCCGCCCCAGATGACGGCATTACATCCAAGAATTTAAAGCTCAAATGATCATAACACAGCTTACAGAGCAACTTGATAGATATATTGAAAAATTATCTCACCAAAGCAATCCATGAACAGAGAATGAGAGCGTTTTTATCAAAAGAACACTTGATCGAGTTTCATCTTATGCCGTATGAAAAATTGAAAGCTTACACTGCGTAATTGCAACGATATAATGAAAACACAGGTCGACCAACAGAGAATAGAAACAGGTAGGTGAAAGACGGGAACTCGTGTGAAGCAGGATCTCACATCTCTCACATTACATGTACGAGAAACATCCAAAATCTGGTATCTTGGTGCTCACTGTTTTGAATAATTCAAAATTTACACTCATGTAAAAACAGCAATTCTCGTTTTACGGAAAATTATCCCTGTTTCTAAAAAAACGATAGTTAATCCAATTCGACACGCAATGAAGCCACATTACACGGAAATAACCGGGAAGAGGGGGGGTTGTGGATTTCCGCAAGGCGAATGCACCCGAGAACCACGTAGATCGATGAGATGGATTAAATCCGCGCGCACCCTTCTACAGCTAATTAGTACTTACAAGGGATTCCGCCACTGCAGCACTGCCGTGAGGACCGCCATCATGAAGGCGCCCGATCCTAAGAAACCGCCTGGAAACCTCGATCGCGACCAGTAGATCGGCGAGGCAAGACACCGGTGCCGACGCCCCGCCCCAAGAGGACGACGTAGCCTCCAGCGACGCATCCCGCCCGGCTTCCGCGGCGGCAGAGCCTTTGATCTCCTCAAAGAGGTGAACGAGAAGAGAGATCTTTCGAGCGAGGCCAACGCAATCCACCCTATCCTGCCCGATCAAGCCCCCCGCAAACGCCGCAGAGCCGGAGATGTCGCGAGCGGCCGCCACCAGGGCCTCCGCCAGACTTAGGGCCCCTGTATCTCCTGCAACAGCGGCCATTACTTCCTCCTCGCTCCTGTCGCCGGCGGGAGGGAGCGTAAGGGGACCGAACACCAGAGGACGAACACCGCCGGCGACGGCACCGTCATAGAAGTAGGGAGAGAGCAAGAGAGCCCGCACGGCCGGCGGGGGAAGAGTCGCCGGCGACGCCATAAGATTCCGCGAGGAAAAGCATATAAATAAGGAATGGGGGGGAGAGAGAGAGAGAGAGAGCCAGCTCATCCTTCGATCCGAAGAGAGAGAAAAAGGTGGAGGAAGATGTAACCGCCTACAGGAGAGGAGGGGGGTGGCGCGCCAGCCGCACCCACCCAATCATATATTTGTTTTCCAAATATGCCCTAGCGTGAGGCTACGTGGCGGAATGAGGTGCCCCGATGGGCTTCTCAGAGAGACTTGCGAGGGAGGGTGTCCAACCTCGAACGGGCATCTCTGAGGCGTGGGGGAAATCTCTAGGCAGATATCGTCCGGTGACGTGGCAGGATGGGATACTGTGCAGGAACCGCTGATCACAAGTGGGTTCCACCAGTGCATGTCTCCGGTAGCGGGACCAGATGCAGTGCGAGCCACGTGGCACGCAACAGAATTAGAAATCATCCTGGCGCCGGGCCCGCGCCCAGGCTGACTACACATTTTAAAGGGGAAAATTTCAAAATAGTCCTGGATCCGATAAAACAATGATTCAGGGTCCATTATGAACGTTCTGTTATGGAAAAAAAAGTAAAATGTTAAAATGTCTGGTCTTTTTGAAAAGAATTACACGACGGGTTAATATTCTGAGAAAGCCGAGACGATCTACCGCCGAATGGAGAACCAAGTTGGACCAACCTACCAGCAGCAGTGGATAAAGCAGGCGCGCAATAGGTCCCACCATTTTATTTTAATACTATTTACAGCTATCAATGAGGTGGCGGGTCAAACTGAGACACCCACTACACCCAATCCCCTTTTATTGGAAAAATGACAAGAAAAATGGATCATGCATGAGATAAAATGGGCCAAAATTGTATTCAATGGGCCCGGCCCATAATGGGAACCCCAGCCCAAATATATACAATTAAGCATACAATTTATATAGTTTCATCCTCTAATTGGAATTAATCACTCGCTAAAAATCCTAATTAACCATATAAAATCATTGAAAAAAAATGAAGAAATAAAAAAATTGAGGCGTGATTATGATTGGGTAGTGACGTCTGAGCGTCTATGAGGACAGCATCACTGTCATTAGCGGTTCATGTGCCGAGGTGCAAAGAGCAGAGCGCATGTTGTATGGAGTCGGCGTCATGAGCGGGGCGCATGAAGACAAGTTCACATGACGTGCAAGGTTGGCGCAGCATCCATGGCGCATGTTGCATTGTAGTGCACAGTAAAACATTGACGACTGAGATTCGCAAGGTTGGTGAGAGACAGAGTCCAAGATGTTAGGTGACGTCCATTTACACCGTCGCATATGTTCTCTATGTTTCTCTTTCAGTTGAGTGGAGTATGGGGTCTAGTTTGATAGAGAGAGGTTCGCATCGTTGAAGGCTGGATGGCGACAACGGTAGAGCATCGATTGAGGCTGGCACTAGTGAGGTTAAGTTCTATGGCAACTATAACCCATTCGAGAATGTCATCTAGCTAAGAAGAGTTATAACTTTACCAAGCATGGTAAGCAGTTACGTGCAGATCTTCATTTGAAGGAGGGAACAGGGGGGGTCCATGAAGAGGAGAAACCCCACCAAACGCAATGAATACGCCACTCTCTTACAAATATTTTTCATTATTTTTTCTTTTGATCACAATTTCTTCATGCTTTGAATCGACAGCTTTGAATCGACATGCCTTGGTCAACGGAGAGTGAGTTAATTCGTGTGGCTCTTTAATTGACTTGTTAGATGCTTTGCCATTGCTTGCTTTTGACCATGGGGATCATATCGCAAACACAATAAATGGAGTGGAATAATCAACTCGTTAGACACCAACGACCATTGGGCGACATCGTAATGATCAGGATTTCATTCGCTGGCTAATTGTAGATTGTCTTCTTCCAAGTGGGTCAAGATGCAAAACCATATTAAACTATAACATGTGGAGATAGATGAAACACCAAATTATGATCTATTAGATTTTAGCTACATCAATAGGTCAAACCTATCATCCAGCTAGGTCTATTTCTTGGATGTGGCTTAAATATTCTTACATAACTTATCATGGTTTAATGGCAAGGCCATTCACACCTAAACTAGTCACAAGGCATCGAACAGTGATAGCTAACAGAAGACAGAAGCGATTTATATCCCCATACACAAGTTGGGTCTGAACAAGACAAGGCGACTGACGCTAGGAACGCTCAAAATGGGCAGTGAAGCCTGCAAAGAAATTTGCGCATTATAATCGGTAAGAGGACAAACTGATGGAGTGTGATATTTTAGGTTAACCCAAACTTTGTAAAAAGAGACGAAGAAAGTTCCAACTCATTACAACGTCATATTTCATCACTATAAATAATCAGAAACCCTCACGATTCCTAAAGATTCATACAGAGAGGAACCTCAGATATACAAATGTGAGGGGAAAGCTATTTTGGTGCAAAGTGAAGAAGATATTGGCAACAATAACCAGTAGGCACACGATGCTGGAGAGGGATGCATCGTTGAGGCCGTCTAAGGGCTTGATCAATGTATTATTTTATACTAACCAGGAGAAGGGCTCCCCTCCCCCGGCCCCATGGTTTGCTAGCCTCACGTGGCCAATGTAAGATCACTTGTACAAGGTCGGACCTTCTAAACAGCCCACGAGCGCGTCATGTGAAAATCATCATCTTCAATAGCATCGTAGACGTCGCCGTCATCATCCCCGTTCCTCCCTTCTTCTGGTCCTCTGGTGTGTGTTAGATGGGATGCAACTTGCCCCAAGAAGTTATAGGGATGGTTGGGGGGGGAGGGGGGAAGAGAGAGAGAGTATGTTGGGGAAGGCATTATTGTGTTCGTCCGAAGTTAAACTGCTAGATAGGTCTGAGTAATGAAGACAGTGACGGAGGAGCTTTCAAGAGTGGGGATGCAAGGGGTTTTATAAATGGGCGAATGGCATTGCTATACTATTCATATTTTAAAAGTAAATGTGAATTTGAATGTATAATATAATCCTTTAATCTATACAAATATGAATTATATGGCGAATGCAATACTAATGTGTTCTATTGTATAATTTCGTATTTGTTATTTAAATATTCGAATTTAAAATATTCATAAACAAACGGATAACAAGTGCATGTGATATGCCAATACATGGACTTAACATAACGTCAATAACTCTAACGATATTATTCAAATGCATATGGTTGATAATTTCCAACAATGATTAAATACTAGATATCACAAATTTACTCCACACACACGTGCATTCTATATATATAGATACACATACATGTATAATTGATGCCCTTTTCTTTTATCATGATTGAATAAGATGTGTTCACTATCCTTATCCAAAATTTCATTACAAAGTTTTACATTTCTCCTTCAATATTTGTACTTGTGACGTAGAAAAGAAGCTATTGACCAAGTAAATGCGCTTTAGTGGACAAGATCAGGTGGGAATACGTTTAGAATAAAAAATTGTACCAGTGATTTATATATAAAAATGATATACCACTCATTTCAGTAAGAAAATTAACTAAAAACCATACCAATGTGTTCATCTTTTAATTTTTAAATTTCATGGTTAAATATTAAATAGCCACATAAAATAGGAAATAATGTGAACAATCTGTCTGGAGTTCGATAATATAGATCGAACGTCCTACACTTTTAAATAGTATTTCGAACGAAAGATCCCCGGCAGCATTTCGCGTCGGCGGAGTCTGATCAAGGAGCACACAAGAACAGTTCTTCCCTTTAAAATTGAGACAGAAAGAAGAACGGATATAACTTAGGAGGGGTCGGTTACTGGAATCCGAAGATCACAGAGGAAAGACGGAGAAGGTTCCAGGCTATGGAAGTGTCTGGCGGAGGGGCCCCGAGTCCGGCCAGCGTCGCAGTGGTCAATGCGGGGAACTCGCGGGAACCTGCCACCATGGCAAAGAAGGTGTCAAACCGGTGGCGGAGGGCAGGCGGGCCATTACTGACGCCTGTCACTTGAGACGTCCTCCATCGGGCACCGTCTTGTCCCTTGTAATTTATGGGGGCCATCCACGATTGGGAAGCCGGTCAACTCGTAGAAACGGTCCGCCGGTGGCACCGGCGACGAGCCTAGGGCCAGAAAGGGTTTGCCTCCGGGGCAGGGCTCCGCCATTGTTCCTTTCACCCTTTGACATTCGATGGCGGCGACGATAAATTTGAAGTTATGTATGTTGCCGGACTCTTTGAACCCTCTGTCGTCCAATCCTGGGATGAGGATATGGCGGCGGGGGGGACAAGGCGGCGATGTTGAGACCCGTTGACTGGAACAGCGGTGGTGGGAACCATGAGAGGCGGATAGGATTGCAGGTAATCTTCTAAGGTGTGTTCCCGGGGACGGTTGCCGGTCGCTGTTAGCGCCGACATGACCCTTGTGGTGGGAGAAGGCTCGGGAACACTGTCCTTGTTCTAGATGCCGGGACATGCAGCTGCAGATCGAGGTAAGAATACAGTGAATCAATTTATTTGCTCGCAATCTTGTAAAGTTACAGAGAGAGAGAGATAGAGATGGAGGGAGGGAGGGAGGGAGGGAGGGAGGGAGGGAGGGAGAGAGACAGAGAGAGAGGGAGAGAGAGAGGGAGAGAGAGAGGCCATTTTCCGCATTAGGAACACGTATTAGATATTGCATTGTTAAAAAATGGTGAGCTGCTTCATTGCATGGATGGCAACATATCAAATTTAGCAGATTCTGATGGAGTCATCCGACTAGCTATTTATGTGGTTTCGAATATGCTGGAAAGCCAACCCACGCGGTTTCTTAACTTATCATGTAAATACATCGAAGACAATTGACATGGAAAAGCTAACTCGGGCGGTTTCGAATATGCTTGATTTATATCGCAATATCTGTAAGGTTAAAACCGGATAAACGAAGATAAACGATGAAACAATATTTCTGACTAATTTTCGTTGGAACATTAGAACATGAACCTTAAATCTATTGAAAACCAGGGAACTTTTTTGTATAAAAAAGCACGTGATTTTTAATTCTATACTGTTTTGACATCTCCTTTATTTCCCGCCGTCGGTTTAAATTCTGTCTTGCCGCCAACATGTATACATTGTTCGGCTTAGAACCGTTACCATAATCTATGATGCAACATTAAATAATATGACCATCAGACCGACCATAAGTAGTATAGAGAATGTTGAACCCATTTGCGTCAACTAAAGACGACTCGTAAGTTAATTAGGATAATATTCTTGTAATTTTCTAGATTTGTATGGATTTAAATACCTTCTTAAGGACGTTCAAATCGTAAAATTATCCCCTATTTGAAGCTTTTCTGAATTGATATATTTTTCTCATTACCCGGGCCTTTATTCTGTCCCACAAACATATTAATTATCACGTTCTCCCTCTTCAGCTACCTACTCGAGGGAGTTCTTGAAAGACGCCCAGGATCTCGGAGCACTTTCTCTCTCCACCGCCGCAAGAACACGCACATGCAGTGACTCGTGCATGGCTGACTCTCTGAGTTCTCCTTCCCACTTGGGCTCCCCTAAGGCTGATTCTTCCACTTCACTGTCTTCCAGAGTCTCCTCAGAGGTTCAAGAGGCCCCATGGAAGGAGCAGCGCCCTTGGAGATAATCGAGTCCGATAGTCAACAAGAAGAAACGACGTAACAGGAGAGTTATCTTCAAACAGCCATTATTCCTCGGTCAAAGACGAAAGACGGACGTCAGCCTGCAGTACAGTAAAATATTTCCGGTAGTTGGGAAGTTGCACCGGGTTTTTGACCACCGGGGGCATCTAATCCCGTTGGATGGGCTGAATCGTCTACGAGCAATCTCATAGCCCATTGCTCACATCAAGGCGGTTCGAGAAATCAACCCCGTGATTCATTGAATCGTAACAGTTGGAACATCCCCGCCAACCTCAGGACCCATCGCCGCTGCCGCCGCCGCCGTCGCCGCCATATCGGACGACTGTCCGTCCATCTGAGGCCTGCGCCTATCCGCTCATCAAAAATTTGGTGACCACCCCCAGCGTCTTCACCTTCTTCCCGGTGGCGGTACCAACATTTAATAAAAACCCTACGGCGTCGTCACGCTCCGGCGTTTTTTTCCTAACCGTCCTCAGCTCCATATTTCTACGCCACCTTCTGGATGTTGACGATATCGGGAGTCCCGCGGAGCAATCCTCCACCGGGTAACGTGGACGGCCTGGGGGTCGAAGGGGGCCGACACGACGGGTGGGGCAGCGGCGATTAAGATTAGCCGCGGAGTACAGAGGGGTTTTGAGAGGAACGGGGGGGAAATGAGGGACAGCTATGCCGGCGGTGGGGGAGGGTCAATGGCCCCCACACCTCATTTAAGCCGCTCATCTGCCCCCATTCATTGCGCTGCTTAAGGATCCTCCTTTAAATTCTCGTCCTCCTTCCCGTTCCCCCCCGCAAGATTAGCCTTACGCCTCTCCTTCCTTGTTCCTCCATTGGAGAAGACCGAGAGAAGGTAGAGGAAGGAGTGTCCCTCGCAGGCGCAGGAGCAGACTCGACTGGTAGCGCGCCATAAGGAGAGATAAGCACAGAAAGGGAGGTTGCCACCCGAAGCAGGACGAGAGGTGGAAGATAGAAAGATGCCGTCTGAGGCGCCGCCAGCGTTACTGAGCTCTGTGAAGCTAAAGTATGTGAAGTTGGGTTACCAGTACCTGGTAAACCACTTCCTGACGCTCGTCCTGGTGCCTCTGATCGCGGGGGTGGCGCTGGAGATAGCGCGGCGGGGCCCGGAGGAGCTCCTCTCCCTCTGGCAGTCTCTTCAGCTGGATCTGATCCACATTCTCTGCTCGGTCTTCGCCCTGGTGCTGGTGGCCACGGTCTACTTCATGTCGCGGCCACGCCCCATCTACCTGGTGGACTACGCCCTCTTCAAACCCCCATTCACCTGCCGGGTTCCCTACGCCACCTTCATGGAGCACATCCGCCTCATCGGCAACCTCGATGCCAAGGGCGTTGATTTCCAGATGAGGATACTCGAGAGATCCGGTCTCGGAGAGGAGACCTGCCTGCCGCCGGCCAATCACTACATCCCCCCAACCCCGACCATGGAGGCCTCGCGGGCAGAGGCCCAGATGGTCATCTTCTCTGCTCTGGACTCCCTCTTTGAGAGGACCGGCCTCAAGCCCAAGGACGTGGACATCCTCATCGTCAACTGCAGTCTCTTCTCCCCCACACCGTCCCTGTCGGCCATGGTGGTGAACAAGTACAAGATGAGGAGCAACATCCGCAGCTTCAACCTCTCCGGCATGGGCTGCAGTGCCGGGCTCATCTCCATTGATCTCGCCCGCGACCTCCTCCAGGCGCACCCCAATTCCAACGCTGTGGTCGTCTCTACGGAGATCATCACCCCCAACTGGTACGCCGGCAACCAGCGGTCCATGCTCCTGCCCAACTGCCTATTCCGCATGGGCGGCGCCGCCATCCTCCTCTCCAACCGGCCCCGCGACAGCCGCCGAGCTAAGTACCGGCTGTTGCATGTCGTACGAACCCACAAGGGAGCGGACGACAAGGCCTACCGATGTGTCTACGAGGAAGAGGACGCCCAGGGCAACTGCGGCATCTCCCTCTCCAAGGATCTCATGGCTATCGCCGGGGAGGCACTCAAGTCCAACATCACCACCATAGGCCCCCTGGTCCTCCCAGCTTCGGAGCAGCTCCTCTTCCTGTTCTCCCTAATTGCCCGGAAGATCCTCAACAGGAAGATCAGACCCTACATTCCCGACTTCAAGCAGGCCTTCGAGCACTTCTGCATCCATGCCGGCGGTCGTGCCGTCATCGACGAGCTGCAGAAGAATTTGGAGCTTTCGGCGGAACACGTCGAGGCCAGTCGCATGACGCTGCACCGCTTCGGCAACACCTCCAGTAGCTCCCTCTGGTACGAGCTCAACTACATCGAGGCCAAGGGGAGGATGCGCCGCGGAGATCGCGTGTGGCAGATCGGCTTCGGCAGCGGCTTCAAGTGCAACAGCGCCGTGTGGCGCTGCAACCGCACCATCAAGACCCCCTTTGAAGGGCCCTGGTCCGACTGCATCCACCGCTACCCCGTCGACATCCCGGACGTCGTCAAGCTCTGAACCTCCCCCAACCCGAGCTCTGATCCGACCCGAACAACAAGAAGATGGAGAGGACGATGGCATTGGCGAGGGAGACGAAGGACATCGCCGAGTGGAAGAGATCAGACGGTCCTCGTCGTCCCATC